TTCCCCTGTGTGCCCCCCCGGGTTACCTGCTGCGGGCAGCCCCTCCCGCCCCAGCTCACCTCCGCTCCGCCTCCACCTCTGAACGCACCACAGCCCCGCTCTGCTTCTCCGCCCCTCCCCAGCTTCCCGCGAATCAGCTGTTCGCAGGCAAGCCTGGGAGGGCAGAGAAGCAGTGCAGTGGCTTCGCGCTCAGGCCCAGGGAGAAGGCGGAGGCGGAGGCAGAGCGGAGGTGAACTGGGGCAGGGAGCAGTTCCCCTGCGCTCCTCCCACCCCCTCCCCCGGTTACCTGCTGCGGCGTGGGCGGCCCTCCTCGCACCCTCCTGCCCCAGCTCATCTCCGCTCTGTCTCCTCCACCCCTGAGTGCGCTGCTGCTCCCCCCTCCCTCCCAGGCTTGCCACGCGAAAGCCTGGGAGAGAGGGGGGTGTAGGGGAAATGCGGCACGCCTCAGGAGGAGGTGGGGCCGGGGATTTGGGGAAGGGGTTGGAATGGCGCCTTTTTTTATGTGTTCACTCCCCCTGATGTTAGAACCTGGCTACGCCACTGCCCCGGGAGCCCAGAAATACAAACAGGTTTTGGGAAAGAATCATAGAGTGGCTCAGCTTACTATGGCACAGAGAACCATGGAAAATGGCCCCAGAAGTCCTACCAATATACACATGGGTGAATGCGTCACCAGAGAGGGCCCAGTATCTCAACTGAGAGGAACAGACCCCTATTCAAAACCCCACTGCTGATCAGATAGAGGGAAGACTTGCACTAGAGGTTTCCCACATTCTCGGTGAGTACCCAAACCCCTGGGAAAAGCTATGAGGCTGGTGCTGTTGATTTCAAGACAGGCCTTAGGCTCCTGACTCCAGGAGAGGCTTCACAGCTGAGATCCCCAAGCAGAGATAGGCGTCGAACTCCCTGGGAGGGGTAGGGATTAGGACACACCCCTCTCTTCGACATCTCCCGTTGGCCAGTGTAGCTGGCTCAGCCTGCTGCCTTTTGTGGATCCCATTCTTAGGTGCCTAACCTTTCTTCCTCCCTTCATTGTGTAGGGAGCCTGAGAATGTGACTGTGTGAATCCCAGTGATTTTCTAGGCACCTAAAAGTTAGGTGTCGAGAGACGGAGCACTGCAATGTCTATATCCATTTGTGAATCTAGCCTCTTGTGATATTTCCAGAAGATCAATGGGATTTCAATGGGATTAAAGACACTTAGGTGCTTTTTGAAAATGCCAGTAGATGCCTATCTGCCTATTTAAACAACTAAATACATTTGAAAAATTTGGTTCTCTTTTTACCTTTAGGCTATGTCTACAGGATGGACCTTACAGCAGCACGGCTGTACCACTGCAGCTGCGCTGCTGTAAGGTCTCCCGTGTAGCTGCTCTATGCCGGCAGGAGAGAGCTCTCCCATCGGCATAATGAAACCACCCCCAATGAGCTCTCCCACTGACATAGCGCTGTCCACACCAGTGCTTTTGTTGGTGAAACTTTTATCGGTCAGGAGGGGTGTTTTTTCACACCACTGACAGACAAAAGTTTGACCAGCAAAAGTGCTACTGTAGACATTGCATTAAACTATTGATTTTATTGTTCAAAAAGTCTGAGCGAAACTTGAGTCAGCTGGAGAACTGCAGGAAAGGAAAACAAAAATTTCCCCTCCTTATCCCTGTTCATAGGCACCGACTCAGTGGGTGCTCCAGGGCTGGAGCACCCAAGTAGAAAAATTAGCTGGTGCTTAGCATAGCACCAGCAGCCAGCTCCCCCCTCCCCACAGTGCCTCCTGCCCACTGGCAGCCCCGCTGATCAAGTCCTCCCCCTCCCTCCCAGCGCCTCCCACCTGCCTTGAACAGTTGTTCTGCGGCATCCAGGAGGCTCCTGGAGGGAGGGGGAGGAGTGGTGACGGGGCGCATTCAGGGAAGGGGGCGGAAAGAGGTGGGGCAGGGGTGGGAACAGGCGGAGCAGTGGCAGGGGCTTGGGGGAAGGGGTGGAATGGGGGCAAGGCCTGGGGCGGGGGGGGGGCAAGCACCCCCCAGCTAGAGGAGAAGTCTGCGCCTATGTCCCCATTAATAAGATCTTGTTAACAGCTCTTTCACCTGAGCAGTCATTTCATGTCCTGCCTCCTTGGGCATATGCACTAGGATACCATCCGTAAGTACATGATTGCAAACAGGGAAAATAACCAATCTGCAAAGGTAGAGCTGTGATTGTGAAACTAGTGACTGTTTTCTTTGTTGCTCCCCAGGTGACAACAGACTGCAGAGCTTTGAAAGAGAAATATGACTCATTTTCCATCAAGGTAATTGAAGATGGCATTCCAGTATCTTGTGCCTGATTTCCTAAAGCTTTCCTCACACCAGCTAATGCAACTCCTTGTGGGACAGATTGTGCCATGTTCACACAGTCCATGGTAGGAGGTATTACATCTGAATCCTCCTACACCTCCTGGCTATGTGGCGGAAACACACTTGCCTCATGGGGCCTTGCATACGTTCCCCTGTGGTCCTCCGGGTTCTGCTTTGTGGAAGGGGGAAGGCAGGGCCACGGATCCACATCTTCTTTGCCTCTCCCTACTCAAGACATCGGTCTGTAGAAAGCAAATGGTCTCTGTGCTCCCCTCTGCCCTGTATTTGTGTAGTGAAGACAGGACCCTCCTCCATTCCTATGTAACCCACTTGGCATCTCTTCTTCTCACCCTGGGTCTCTGAGTGGCATCCAGCTATGTGTCCTCATCTCATCCATGGTTATTTCAATGAGATATCTTTCCTCTGTGTACCTGCCCACCATTATTTTTACTCTGTACGACAGTTGCTCTCAACCTTTCCAGACTACTGTGCCCCTTTCAGGAGTCTGATTTTCTTGCATGCCCCAAGTTTCACCTCACTAAAAACCACTTGCTTACAAAATCAGATCTAAAAATACAAATGTGTCACAGCACATTATTACTGGAAAATTGCTGACTTTCTCATTGTTACCATTTGATTATAAAACGAATTAACTGGAATAGAAATATTGTACGTACATTGCAGTCTGTAGTATATAGAGCACTATAAACAAGTCATTTTCTGTATGAAATTTTAGTTTGCACTGACTTCACTAGTTTACCACCAGCTTCGGGCTGCATTCCCAAGCAACCCGACTCCAAGAAGACCTGGTCCCAGCGCGCCGGGGGCTGCTACCGGCCTCACAGTGTCCACGGGCACCTCTTAACAGTTTCACGCCCTCTTGAAGAGGTGTCCGTGGACAGTGTGAGGCCGGTAGCGGCCCCCGGCGCACCGGGACCAGGTCTTCTTGGAGTCAGGTTGCTTGGGAATGCAGCCCAAAGCTGGTGGTAAACTCCATCTAAGGCTAAATACTGGCACGAGACCCATAGTCAACAAGTACTGTAAGTGATTTCACTAGTGCTTTTTATGTAGCCTGTTGTAAATATCTACATGAGTTGATGTACCCCCTTGGAGACCGCTGCGTTCCCTTAGGGATACGTGTACCCCTGGTTGAGAACCAGTGCTGTAGGAGGTGTGACCTGGACCATGGCTGTTTAATCAAAGGCAATAAAATCTTGCTATGGACACTCTGAATTAAATCATGCCCCACTGAAATCAATGACAAAGCTCCAGTTGATTTCAGTGGAGTCAGGATTTCACGTGATGAATCAAAAGGGATGAGGGCCTGTGTCCTGAATGGGATCATCAGCGTTACTCCAGTGATTGGTTATGAGGAAGCTGACAAATCACACAGGAGGGTAGTTGATGTTTGGAATGGTGTTCCAGTCACCCGGGACTCTAAGGCCTTCTCTACACTAACACTGGAAGTTGATCTAAGTTACGCTAGTTAAGTTCCGTAACTTAAGTCGACGTAAATGACATCGACTTCTATCGGATCTTTGCCACGCTATGTTGATGGGAGACACACTCCCATCAACGTAGCTTCCGCCTCTCATTGAGGTGGAGTACTGAAGTCGACAGGAGAGCGCTCTCCCATTGACTTATCGTGTCTTCACCAGGCCCGCTAAATCGATGCCGTTGTATCAATGGCAGCAGCACCGATTTAGCGCGGTAGTGAAGACAAGGCTTAAGTCACTTTGTTTCTCCCTGCCTCCAGCTCGAGGAACTCTTTGTTGTGGTAGCTGGGTGGCAGATCCCTGACACCACCAGTCACTCAAGCTCTCTCCTCTGGGCTGTGCCAGTCGTAGCTTTGCCTTGCAGGTGGTTAACAGTATGTGAACCCAATCCCCGAGACTCATTCCCCTGTGATATCCAGTCCCTGCCGCTGGCTACTCACAGAAATCCCAGATCCTCTGCAGTGTACCTCAGTTTACCAGTTTTACTTTAAACCACCACTCCTGTAAACCACATAGCCCTTGTGAGCACTTAGAACAGAACGAAAGGCTTGTTTCAGAAAGAATAAGTATTTAACTAGAATTGAGAGAAAGTGATAGAAGCAAATGGCTAGAACATAAAAGCATAAAACACAAAGCTGGGTGTACCCTTCTCAATAGTTACCTTTCCAATATACTAAAGTAGGCTTCCCCTGCAAAGCTCAGTCTGTTGCAAAGTTGGCTGGGTTCACCAGAACCAGCATCAAAATATTCATGAAAGGCCCCTGCTCCTTAAGGCAGTGGTCCCCAAACTTTTTATGTCATGCTCCCCCTTACCCATAATGTAATCTGTCTGCACCCCTTCGGGAGCCAGGGCCAGGAGTGGGACCAGGGGCTGGGAGCTGGGGATCAGGGCCAGAGCTGTGACTGGGGCCAGGGCCAGGAGCGGAGCCACCGCCAGACCTGGGACCATGGTTGGGAGCTGAGCTGCAGCCGGGAGCCAGGCTGTGGTCCGTGGCTGAGGCCAGGGCTGGGCCATGGTTGGGGGCCAGAAGCCGAAGCCAGGGCCTCAGCTGGGGTTAGGGCTGGGCTGGAGCAGAGATGGGGGCAGAGTGGGGCTGGGTGGTGTTCCTTCCCTGCCCCCAATGGGGGCTGGTCTGGGCCCTATCAAGCCCCCCTCTGGGCATGCCCCACAGTTTGGGGACCACTGCCTTAAAGGGTTTCCTCAGTGAATGAATCCCGAATGCCTTCCCTGACACTTTATTTACACTGAAACAGTCTTTCGCCTTGATTCTTAGCCAGGGAATTCTCCTGGCTGTTATAATGGTCTTTTTTGTTAATTTGTTCTGGGATGTGGCCAGGGTAGGGAAAAGAACCATGCATTACCTCCTGGCTGACTGGGGGAGGGGAACAAGTCCCTCTGCTTTGAATGAGTTGTCATTCAAAGCAGAGGGACACAGTACCCCTGGTGACTAATTTTTACCCCAAGTCCATCAAGCATACTTTCAGTATAAATACTTTATTCCTTAAATATTACCCATACATACATCCCACCATGATTATGAATCTTGACAAGTTGTGAGCTTTCTGCAGATACCTTACATGTTACTCTCCATAGATAAATAGTTTGTAAGATGTGTTTGGTGTAGTCAGTTTGTCAGGTCTGAGCTGAGAGATGTTTGCAAAGAACAGGGGACTGTTTGCCAAAGGGTCTCTGTGTCCCTATGGGTGTGACCTTTGGCTAACCCTTAAGGGTACTGAATAATTCCTATGTTCATCTCTTCAGCTGTCATGTTTCAATGTGGATATGATATGCATGCACTTTCTGCCCTTCTTCTCTTCCCCAACCAGGAATATTTGATTAAAGAAGGAAAATTAAGTAGAGGAGCCATTGACATGATTGGTGACTTGCTGAATATAGATGGGAGTTTCCACATATCTTTTCTGTACTCTGTCATGGACGATATTGCTTTCAAAGAAGGGTAAGAAGAAGAGTATCTTTAATTACTTGCTTTATATGGAGAAGAACATGTATCTATGGTAGGATCTGTCTATCTATCCATCCATCTTCTGATACAATGAGGTTGATAAGCAGATAGATGTATCTCGTCCATCTATCAGTGTGGCCAGTTACCTTCGTTCAAGTAGGCACCGATGGTCTGAACTGTCATAGAGGGCAGATGTTCACTACTATATTTCTCTAGCTATACAAGGCAGGGGACACTTTCACAAGGGATGAGTTGTACATTACTGAAAGTGTCTATCTATGGCTTCTAATGGGGAGAGTTCCTATGGAATTCAGTAATTAATTTCCGACTAAGAGTACCTGTAATAGTGATATTGGAACATCACTCTGTGGTATCAAGGGAACCCTTTGGTCAAATGACCCCAAATTAGGATTACTAATCCTACCCAGTTCCCATGAGGCAAACCTAATTCTAAGGCGATCTTAGTAATCATGCAGAATTTAGATCACGTCAAAGAGTGAAGCTTTAAACAGAAAGCTGGTCTTAGCCTTAGCTACCACAGACCTGGCACTTGCCTGTAATAAAAGAAGCCGGAATTGAAGTAGTCACTGGAGGAAGAGGGGACGGGGCGGTAAATTATATCTTCAGCTAAGCAGCTCCTTACAGAGCCGCTTATTATTTTTGTGATATTTACGCAGAGAACTGTTGACAGAAGCTGTAATTCTTCTACCATCATCTCCAACCCCCCCCCTCCCCCCCGGCTCCCTTTCTTTCAGTTTTGATGAAATCACGGGGGGATTCGATCAGCTTCCAGAGGCGTTCTACAAGGGTATGCACAGGGATATTCTATTTCAGTCCACAGCAGTGAAGATACTACACGACAATGAAAAAGTGAGAGTTTTTTATCGCAGGCCACGCACATTGCTCCCCTCCTCAGTGACGGCTGACTATGTCCTTGTCGCAACCACGGCAAAAGCCACACGGCTCATTAAATTTTCTCCACCTCTTTCCTCCAACAAGACCCATGCCCTGCGCTCCCTCCACTACTCAAAGGACGTGAAGATTTTTTTGGTCTGCAGGGAAAAGTTTTGGGAGAAGGATGGAATCTATAATGGGAGGTCAATCACTGATCGCCCATCCAGATTCATCTACTACCCCAGCCACAATTTCTCCAGTGGAGTGGGGGTGATCTTGGCTTCCTACACTTGGGATGATGATGCTGAATTCTTCGTTCCCCTTAGTGATGAAAAGTGTGTTGATGTGGTACTGGAGGACCTGGCAGAAATCCACCAAATGCCCAAGAATTATATCCAGAACATCTGTGATAAACATGTGATCAAGAAATGGGGCCTGGACAAATATTCGATGGGAGCATATGTTTCATTAACCCCATATCAGTTTGTCGACTACTCCAAAGCTTTATTTCAGAATGAAGGGAGGGTCTATTTTGCAGGAGAATACACCGCTCACCCTCATGCCTGGATCGAAACGGCTATGAAAGCTGCTGTGAGAGCAGCCAGGAACATCCATGGCACTATCAATGCATCACCTAGGTGGCAACAGAAAGAGCTGAAAGAAAATGAACTGTAATGGATTTATGAGTGTTTGGTGAAGGTACAAACACATGGGGATTCTGACTGCGGAATTAAAAATTGCGCTGCTAATCATCGAGCATCATTATTGTTGTGGCTGTGCTGGTGGTAGCGCCTAGGTGTCCCGCTGTGAGTGTCACTCCAAAAACACTGAACAAAAAAGAGAGTGCCTGCCTATGATGGGGTGTACAAACCCCACACTGGGCAACAAGGAGCTAAGGGATTATTTTGGGCTCAGCCAGCCCCGCCCTGCCACACCTGCAGCAAATGCTCCATCTGCTGGAGGCATTAAAAGGCAAGGAATTAGCTTATTTGGGTGGCAGAGCTGGAGGTGAGCCCACATCTCTAGCAGCACAGAGCAGAGGGAAGCCTAAGACTCTGACACAGGTGCCCAAAGCAAGCCCCCATCGCCCTCCAGAGAATAGGGAGGACCTGCCCCAGAGACAACCAGAAAGGGAAGTATCCTGTGGACCTTGGACTTTGGTAACTCCCTTTATTTATTGTGGTTTGGGTTTCCCCACCAGGGGAAGGCCTTGAACTAAGCTGACCCCGGAGGGGTGGGAATGAGAGGAAGAGGCCCAGAGAGGACAGCCTTAAGCAGCCTTGGGTGCCAGGCTACTGGTATCCCAAATGGCCCTAGGTCAGAGTTGACTAGCCCAGGCTCCCCTCCCCACAACCCCCTTGGCAGTCTGGGGTTGCGACTATGACCAGTAGGCCACGCTCTCCAACCATACTCTGAATGAGGATCATTACACTCCCCCGCAAAGCTTACAATCTAATTATAAGACAAGCTTGATACAGAGCACAATGAAACAATCCGGCCCTAGATTGTTACTTTAGGTGAAGCCCAGAGGGGTGGTGCAGAAACTGCCTAAACCAGCAGCAGACTGCTATGCTCTGTTGTGCTGTGACCTCAGACTCTTTTGGCTGCTTCCCCAGTGCATTAACATTATCTCCGGCCTAGCCACACCGGGAAGTTAAGACAAAGTTACTGCAGGTATGATGTTAAAGCCCATTAATATGCATTAAACAACTGTGTGGACACTCTCATTCAGAAGTAAAGTAGCGTTAGTTCACTGTAGCTTAATCCGTTTTTGTTTTAACACATTTCGGAAGGCTACTAGGTATCACTGAGCACATTAACAAAGTTTTAGAGCATTTAATATCAGTTGAGTTTATATATATATATATGGTAAGTATAGAGAAAAATCAAGAAAATTCAATACAGATATGCTCAAAGAATGTGGGACAGCCACATTTTATAAATCTAATTACATTCATTAATAATTGTTAATACCTAGCTCTAATGAAGTGGTTTTCATACATATATCTCAAAGCCGGTAAGTATTATTAACCACATGTTACAGATGGGGACGCTGAGTTACTGGGATGTGAGGTGAGGGAGCCGGGAATAGAATCTAGCTCTTGTGAGTCATGATGTCTGTCCACTAGGCTACAGTGCAAATGTTTACATCTTACTGAACTTTCTTCCTCTCTCTCTATACTTACCAAACAATTTCATTTAACCTTCTTTAAAAAGTCTGGCTCTCCATTCTCTGAGTCCTGTACTAATTGCTTTCTATGCTCCTGTTTCTGACTCACCTCTGAAATATGTATAACCTATTGTTCTTCTTAGGATGTTCTCCCCTTTTCCCCACACACTGAGGTCTAAATTTTTCCCTCATTCAACTGACAACTTGCATGACACTGATCAGATGCCATTCATGACATTAAAGAACTGGAGTACACTTGATCTAATTAAGCCAGCTGAAATTCATTACCAGCTATCTAGGCGCCCCCTTGCCCTCTGCCCTTGGGCTGTTCTTAACGCACAGTTCTCAACCATGTAACGCAGGCCCCCATCTATTGAAAGGCTGGATCTTGGGCTGAGTCTGAGGCCTGGTCTGCACTAGGAAATTGGGTCAGTATAACTACTTCGCTCAGGGGTGTGAAAAATCCACATCCCTGAGTGATGCAGTTAAACCAACCTAACCCCCAGTGTAGACAACTCTAGGTCAATTGAAGAATTCTCCCGTCGACCAAGATGTGGATTACCTACTCCGATGGAAGAACCCTATTCATCAGCGTAGGTAGCATCTTCACTGAAGCACTGCAGCAACACAGCTGCATTGGTGTAGATAAGCCCTGAGTTTAGCTTGGAAGGGGATTAGGACAAGTGGCTTTTTGTCTCCCTCATCTGGGGGACCTCTCTCTGCCAGGCCAGTGATGGAGTGAACTAGAGAAGGATCACACCTGCTATGCCTTATCCCAGCTGGCAATGACTCACAGGGGCATTCAAAGACCTCTGCGTTGTAGAGATCATCCCCTTTTTGCCCAGCCATGCTGCTGCCAGTAGGGGGAGAAAAAGAGCTGAAGATTGTGCTTGAGTGTCTTAGAACTATGAGAGGGTTTCCTATGCAGGGGACGATTCTGTGGCCAGATCCACTGAGTTTATAGCCATTTTGTACAGCAGGACTGCCGAAAAGTAGCTGCAGCATGTCCATAAGTATTAATTTGGAACTCCAACAGAGCTTTTCATTGACACCTTGCATAAAGCAAAGTCGGGGCATCAAATTATAACTAGAGTTTGTCAACTCACCTTTTTTTCCATTGAAAAATGAGGTTTTGCTTAAGCCCGGCCACAGCTTCATCTTGGATTAGATGAGTGAGGGAAACACACAACATGTGCTGGAACCCTGATCATATTGCAACCCAAATACAAAAGAAGTATCAAGATGAAGTTATGGCCCCAATGATCCTAACATTTCTGAGCATGCGTATAAATTCAGCGGGGCAAATTTATGTCTAAAGTTACTCACCTGAGTAAGTTTTTCCCTAAAGTTGCCATCACATATACATACATGTATACTGGAATGGCCAGTCTTAATTTTTAGAATCCTTGCGGGCCTCCTCCTTCTGCACTCGAAGTGCCAGAGTGGGGAATTAGCCTTAACATGGTGGCAGAGCAGTGGAATCATTTTGAACCAGAGGCACAGACCTCAGGATTTTAAAAGGACACATTTTTCCTTTTCGCAGATTGCAAAGTCAGGGAGGGTTTTTTTTTTTTTTTTTTTTTTTTTTTTTTTTTTTT